TATGGTGGAACAGTACAGCATCTGATGTGGAAAAGTGGAAGAATCATGGCTGAACAGTGGGACATCTAATGGTGGGAAAGTGAAACATCTCATGGTAAAACAGTAGAACACCTGTTGCTGCAAAAGTGCAACATCTGATGGTGGAACAGTGGAACAATCATTTTGGAACAGTAGAACATCTGACGGTGGAACAGTAGAACACTTCATGGTGGAACAGTGAAAGATCTAATGGTAAAACTGCGAAACATCTAATGGTGGAACAGTAGAACCTCTGATGGTGGAACAGTGTAACTATCATGGTATAACAGTAGAACATCTCATGGTGGAACTGTGGAACATGTGATAGTGGAACAGTGGAGCATCTGATGGTGGAACAGTGGAACAGAGATGGCGGAACAATGGAACGTCTGATAGTAGAACAGTGAAACAATCATAGTGAAACAGTAGAACACCTCATGGTGGAATAGTGAAAATCTGATGGTGGAACAGTGGAACATCTCATGGTGAAACTGGGAAACAGAGATGGTGGAACAGTTGAACAACCATGGTGGAACAGTACAACATGTGATGGTGGAACAGTGGAAAAGTGGAACAATCATGGTGGAACAGTGGATTATCTTATTGTCGAACAAAAGAACATCTAATGGTGGAACAGTGGAACAATTATAGTGGAACAAAATGACATCTGATGGTGCAACAGTGGAACAACTATGATTGAACTGGAGAACATATGATGGTGGAACAGTACAACAGTGATGGTCGAAAAGTAAAACATCTTTTGGTTGAACAGTGGAATATCTGATGGTGGAAGAGTGGAAGACGGATGGTGGAACAGTAGGACATCTGATTGTAGAAGAGTTGAACAGTGGAAGAGAGATGGTGGAATAGTAGAACCTCCGATGGTAAAACAGTAGAACAGGGACGGTGAAATAGTGGAACATCTTATGGGGTAACAATGTATCATCTGATGCTGGAACCGTTGAAGTATCATTGCGAAAGAGTGGAACAGAGATGGTTCAACATTAGGACATCTGACGGTGGAACATTGGAATATCTGATTGTGTAACAGAAGAATACAGATTGTGTTAGATGTTCCACTGGAACAGTGGAACATCTAACGTTGGAACAGTGAAACATCTCATGGTGGAACAGTACGACATCTGAAAGTGGAACAGTAGAACATCTCATGTTGGAACAGTGGAACATTTGATGGTGTAACAGTGGAAGAGAGATTTTGGAACAGTAGAACATCTTATGGTGGAACACTAGAATATCTGATGGTAAAAAAGTTGAACATGGTAGAACAGTGGAACATCTAATAGTAAAACAGTGGATCATCTGATGGTGGAACAGTTAAACATCTTATTTTCGAACAGTAGAATATCTAATGGTGAAACAGTGGGACAATCATGGTGGAAGAAAAAAACATCTGATGATGGAACAGTGGAACATTTTATGATGGGGCAGTGGAACATCTGATAGTGGAACAGTGGAACATCTGATGGTGGAACAGAGATGGAGAAAAAGTAGAACTTCTGATTGTGGAACACTAAAACAATCATGGTGGAACAGTAGAACACCTCATGGTGGAAGAGTGAAATATAAGATGGTTGAACAGTAAAACAGCTGGAGGTGAGACAGTGGAACAATCACGTTGGAACAGTAAAACATCTCATGGTGGAACAGTGGAACAGAGATGTTGGAACAGTAGAACATCGTATGGTGGATCAGTAGAACATCTTATGGTGGAAGAGTTGAACATCTGATGTGGAAAAGTGGAACAGTCGTGGTGGAACAGTGGAACATGTAGGGGTGGAATAGTGAAACATCTGATGGTAAAACAGTAGAACATCTGATGCTGGAAAAGTACGAAATCTGATGGTGGAACAGTGGAACAATCATGGTCTGACAGTAGAACATCTGATGGTGGCACAGTGGAACATCTGATGGTGGGACAGTGATACAGAGATGGTGGAGCAGTAGAATATCTGGGAGTGAAAAAGTGGAACAATCATGGTGAACAGTGGAACATCTAATGCTAAAACATTGGAACATTTGATAGTGGAACATTGGAACATCTGATGGTGGAAAGGTGGAACAGAGATGCTCACGAGGAGCCGCAAGCAGTAAAATTTCTGTCCCGTAATTTAATCAGTTAAATCATCAAAGTTGACAGGTCTTTCTGATGATCAAAGCGAACGTTCGGTTTACCATTTACACCTTCAGTGCGAAGACTGTCACGGGAACATTAACACCTTCAGGATAATTGCTTACCATAACAGTGGTAGGTTGCGCGCGTCTGGTCGGTTTCGAAGAACGTGATCGTGACTGTTGTTTTCGTGCAGTGACTGTGCGCGTTGATATGCCAACGTTTAAAACAGACTGCAACATTAAATTTTTGTTAAAAGCAAAGAAGCTGCTGAGTAGAAACTAAACCGTCCCAGACTTATTCCGTTTCATTCGTGTACTTTCATTTTGATGGGGTCTGTATGATGAATTTACTTCTGCCTTCTAATCAGGCACGTAAACAACAT